TGACCTTGTGCCCAAATTGGCCCAGATAATTGGCAGCCAGGGGTTATGCACAGTGAGGCACAGCCAGAGGGTATCAGCCCCCTCGCAGCTAAGCAGTCAGGCATCCTGGCCTCTGGCAGACACAGGCTTTGTTCAACTGCCTCTTCCCAGGGGTGGCTGGTCATCCCCTCCAGCCAGAAAGAGAGGTGGCCCGGGGTTAAGAATGGGGGAGGCATTGCAGGGGAGAGCTCAGAAGGAAGGAGTTGGTGCTGGGTAAGAACACTTCTGGCTGGCCAGGAGCTGTAGACAAAGGGGGCCGCCCGCCACCCGCTGGGAGAATTACTGGCTGCCTATCTGCCCTGCCAACCCAGAGTGAGTTATTTCACACACAGAGCCAACAAAGGGCACCTGCTGGTTGCTCTTCCAGGACTGACCTCTTCCCACTGGTCCTCTGGCCATTCCTTCAGACTTCTGCTTATATAGAAATCATCTCTTCCAACAACTCTTCCCTGAGCCTGCCTGTCCCTGTTATAGGGCTCTCTCCTCATGGCCCCAATCATCCTCTACTTGACCTCTTATATTCTACCTCAGCATCTTTCAAACTTGATGGACCAGAAAACCCCTTTCACAGTGATTTAGGATCAATTTCATAATAATTATTTCCCATTGTTTCCCTTCTGTTTATAAAGAGGCAATTTAAATTTTAAAATAATTTCCCTTACATCACATATTAATGATTCTTTAACTTATTTTACAATTTTTTTTTTGCATGTTTAATAGGTGCCAGACACAATTCTAGATGCTTGGGATGTGTTATTGAATAAACGTTCCCGACCCTCTGGGCTGACATTCAAGTTGGGGAGCCAGATAATAAATACATGAATAAATAAATCATAAAGTATATTTAAAAAAAGAAGCTTTGATGACACTCCTAATCCATAAAGACCTCTTAGTTTTTGCCTTTTAATCAAGTGGTACAGGCCAGTTTACTTTAAAACAGACCAAGATCACTGTCAAAATAGAGACCTCTTTTCTAATGGAAATACTCACATTTTTTTTTTGTATTCTGCACCAGGAGAATTTAATCTTATGAAACAGTGGCATTAGAATGTAATGTGTTTGTAAAAAATAAAAACTACTTATAGAAGGCAGCAAAAACTTACATTTCCTTTTACTTAACCTCTAGTTTACATATATTCATGTTCAGCCTGGCCAAAGCACAATTCTAACCTCAGATGATTTCCATGCAATCAGTCCACAATGCCATCAAAATAAAGAGACAAGTAAAAGCGATTTTCAAAAAAATAAAAAAGCAGAGTGTTTATTTGTCCAAGAGAAACTCAGACTTTGAGATAAGTTCTATAACCTCCAAATCCTTGTAACAAAAGCAACATACATATGGGGTTTGCTTAGGAAATTACATTTAGCATTCAATAAGAAAATGTTACTTTTTTATAGCAAATTTTTCCTTCTAGTTCTCCATTTCTGTAAATACGAAGCCATGTGCTTCTGTAAAGCCTGACTCTAAGAAAACTAAAATATAAAATTCTGAGCAAAGGTCAAAATTATGGTAATTTGAAAATTTTTAAACCTTATGTAATGGATTTTTAAAGCAGCCAATCAAAGTTTCTCTCTCTCTCTCTCCCTTCCTCTCTTTCTAAAATCAATTAAAACATATATATTTTTTTAAAACGTGGGAAATTGTATATTTAAAGGATCTTAAATCTAAAGTTATTAAACATGGGAGGTCCCAACATCTAGACCCATGCTTGGTGCATAGTAAATGGTTAATAAATGCTGATTGGTTGAATAAATTAATGATTATCACCCCCACTAGATATCAAGTTCCTTGAGTGCAGAAACCATATACTTCTAACATGTATTTATTGAATAGATAAATGAAGGAATGAAAACCAACAATTAGGTAGTGCCAATGGTCTAAGGCAAGGCAGAGCCCTGATATTTGTGGTCCTCTATCACCCTCTGGTGGGCAAGTGCAGAGCATCTTCCTCCAATGCCTTAAAATCCAGTGTAGTGTTTTTCAAACTATAGAACCCCACCCATTAGTGAGTTGTGAAATCAATTATGTGGGTCATGACCAGCATTTTTAATTGAGTTTATAATTGAATAGAAAGATATCAGAGTGCCTTATACAGAGTAAAGGCAAATTCTATCATGAATTGTCATAAAGCTATATTTATAGCTATATCTATGTATCTATTAGCATATATATTTTTTTGTGTGGAGTGGATCACAACCAGTGACTTGTTGATAAATGTTTAACAACTAGCTGTCTAAGGGGAAATGTATAAGGACATATGTATGTAAGTTTGTTATAAATTTTTCTTAATGTAAATAATATGTAGTACATAGTTTAAAATAGTGAAATAAACAATTCTTTGTTGTGGATTCTACATAGCTAATGATTCTCACAGAATGCTCCCATTGATTTTTGCTGGACTCTTGTATCCACAGCCAACCTATAGTTTCAATTCAACCATGTTTTGATAAATGGAGTTGCATCCCTATCTAATGAAGCCCTGATTTATAGCACTGGACACTTTCCCTAGTGTAAATACTCCCAACATGGCTATTGTCACCGAACCGGGAATTAGGAAGAGTTGCATCTGGGAATATGATCTTATTTGGAAACAGGGTCTTTGCAGATCTAATTAAGGATCTCAAGATGAGATTACCCTGGGCTTAGGGTGGCCCCCTAAATCTAATGACTAGTGTCCTGAAAAGCAGAAGGAGAGAAGACACACAGAGAAAAGAAGGCCACGTGAAGACAGAGGCAGAGATTGGAGTTACAGCAGCACCTGGGTTTTCCAACGAAACCCGCTCCGGAAGCCCGATCGAGTTCTGAAACGTTGGGAAACGAGGGACCCACAGCCCACAGCTGGGCCTCAGGACCTTGCCCTGCGTGGAAGCCGTGTGGCACGTTCAACTTCCCAGGCGGGTTCGAAAACCGAAGCATTTCCTCCCCGGCTTATGGCGTTCCTAACCCAAAATGTTCGGCAAGGGAGACGTTGGAAGACCGAGGCCCGCTGTACACAGGTACAAGGAGCGCCAGGGACGGACAGGAGACACCAGAAGCCAGGGAGGGCCCTGGGGATCCGTCCTCGGAGCCTCGGGAAGGAGCCACGCCTGTCCACAGCTTGGTTTCAGACTTCTGGCCTCCGGAACCGTCAGAGAGTACATTTCTGTTGCTTTAATCCAACCAGACTGTGGTAATTTGCTGCGGCAGCCCTAGGAAACTGATACAGTAGCAAAGCAAGGACTCCAGACTGGGAAACGCTGAGTTAGACATCCAGCCGCGACTGGGAGTGCGAGGCTTCAGCTCCGCGAGACGCAGTGACGAGCCTCCGAGACCCTCACCGGATCGCCCTAAGGCCCGACCTCCAGCATTTTTATTTTTTTATTTTTCAGAGAAAGGAAAAGAGAGGGAGATGGAAACATCAATGATGAGGAGTCATTGATTGAGCCCGCAACCGGGGCATGCGCCCTGGCTGGGAACCGAACCCCGGTCGCCTGGATCACCAGGTCGAGGTTCAACCGCTGAGCCACGCCCGGCCGGGCAACCGCCGGCATTTTTTACTTAATACAAGGAGGTGTTTTAAAAGTGAAAATAAATTTAATAATTTAAAATTTAAATTCAACCATCGTGTTACGCATTTATTTTCTAATGAAGTTTGATCTCATGTCCCTGTACCTGGATCACCATCATGAACCTGGAGTTCACATACTAACTCCGGGAGGGAGTGATCTCTTGTCTCTCTATTTTACAGAAGAGCAAACCAAGGCCCAGGTGGAGGAGGTGTCTCCAAGTCTCCACGAGTGACTAAGTGATGCCGTGACCACTGTTCTAATTCCTACAGTGCTACATTTATTCTTCCCGCCTCCAGAAAAGACTCCCCCACGCCCCTTTTCCCAGACCAGAGCAGGACGCGGAGGCTCAGGTTCGAACCGCCCGCCGCCTGAGCGCGTCGCCCGCGGCGGGACTGAGGGAGGCGAGAGGAGAGGCCCGGAGCCG